TGTGCAAATTTTCTTAAGTAATGCATTTAGTATGGAGGGCAACACCGGAGACACAGCGCGGGAATTGTGCTTGGTCTGAACCCCAACTCCAGGGTGTGACACGAAGGGAGCGCAACAGAGCAGCAAGGGGAGCAAAGCAACAAATCCCCAAGGAATTCTAAAAATAGACTTTGGATTTGGGAGGCAGTGCTTGGCACTGCATCAGACGCAATTGGAAAAAATTCTTAAGGGTCAGCACACAGACCTGGAACAATTCACAGGCAATTTTTTCTTTTTTTTTTTATGTCTATCTATATAAGACAGGCAGGATAAACAATCCCAAGGAGAAAACAACAGGACTGATGGTTCTGGGGGGATAAGGGAGAGGAGGAGGTGGGGGGAAATGAGGGGAAGCCAACAAACTCAGGGACAAAGGAACAACAAGAGATCTAAAATTGATGACCAGGAGGGCATAAAATGCCTGGTGGGGTTCAATCGAGTGCAATGTAGCTGAGAGGAAGTACAGAGAGCCGAATGAAGGCTGAACATGATAGGGGGACAGGAGGAAAGTATTGGAAACAGAGGAAAGGACTAGGAGGCAAAATACATTATAGAGGTATAAACATAGGCATGGACATATGTAAATATATTAATATATAACAATAGGGATATAGGCCTATGTCCATATATTTATAGGTGAAGTATAAATGGACGTTGGGCCTCTACTCAAGTCCTCCTTCAATACGAGAACACTTTGTTCAAATAATCTGGCATTCTGTGATGGTCACCTTTCTGACACCATCACTGAAGACAAAATGAGTGCATAAGCAAATGTGGTGAAAAAAGCTGATGGTGACCAGCTATTGCAAGATATAGTATCTAGGATCTTAAAGTCTTGAAGTTAAACAAGTGCTCATCTAGCAGGGAAGCAAAAAAGCCCACATGGAAGAAGCACACCAACCCATGTGATTACAGGTGTTTATGGGATCAGGCGTCAGGCATCAGAAGACCCCAAACCAACTACCATTTCGATGCAAATAATGGGGGTCAGAATGGAAACCCAAAGCCCATCTGTAGAGAATTGGACATCCCCTCACAAAAGCGTCACAAGGAAGGGACGAACCAACCAGGGTGCAGTATAGCACTGACGAAACACACAACATTCCTCTAGTTCTTTAATGCTTCTCCCCCTACTATCATGACCCCAGTTCTATCTTACAAATCTGGCTAGACAAGAGCAGGTACACTGGTACAGATAAGAGCTCTCGACATACAGAATCCAGAATAAACCCCTCATGATCAATAATGAGAGTAGTGATACCATGAGGGTAGGGGGAAGGTGATGGGATAAGGGGGAGAAAGAGGGAAGTAATCGTACAACACCACTACTACCACCCCGCCCAGTGGGGAGAACAACAGAAATGTGGGTGAAGGGATATAGCAGACAGTGTAAAATATGAAAATAAAAATAATTTATAAATTATCAAAGGTTCACAAGGGTGGGAGAGTGGGCTAGCAAGGGGAAAAGAGAGCAGCTGATGCCAAGGGCTCAAGTAGAAAGAAAATGTTTTGGAAATGATGATGACAATATATGAGCAAATGTGCTTGATACAATTGATTGTTATAAGAGCTGCAAGGGCTGCCAGTAAAATGACTTATTGATAAAGAAAGAAGACAGAAATGCATTTAGGTCATTAGAGTTCTTTCTTAGATGACATTGTGCAAAATTCCAGCAGTCTCTGAGAATTTGGGTTGTACAGGAAATCCTGGTATGGGGAGAGAAGCAAGTGTGTAGAGTTCCTATCTGGTACCACAGTATCCCGTACCCCTAAGGCTGTCCTCTGTGTGGTTCTGCATAGGAATTTTTCTTTTAAGGAAGGCACTGACAATATCTGTCAATATAGCTTGGAGGTAAAATTCGGCCCTATGAACATCATTTGAAAATTCAACACCTGGTTCCTGTGCAGAGTATACCTGCTCTTTCAATTTTCTGCGACCTGATTCAAATATCAATATATATAAATATCACCAGGGGTAAGATGACCTTGCACTATTTAACATCCCTAATCAAAGGAAATAACCTATGTGAAATGCTTTCAAAACAGTAAAGGACTGTACAAAAGAAAGCTATGATTGTAATTTTTGAAGGCATGGAACTTGACAGTGATACAAATTCTGGAAGTGATAACAAATACCAATGCCCAAAGCAAACCTACATAAATAAACAAAAATCCTAACAGGAAAGATCTAATAACCTACAATAGTGGTTACAAAAGATCTGCAAAAGATCTAATTACTACAATAGTGGGTGACACACTACACAGCACAGAATGAGAGAGCCATGACTTGACAGCCATCACATGAAAAGGACATGGAGATTTCAGTGATCACAGTCCCAAGATGAGTCAGAAGCAGTCTTGTCTCATAAAAATCTTGACCATAGGCTTCATTAATGCAAGCATAGTGTCGCCCTGTCCTCTCCTTTGCTTGGACCACCTGTGTCCTGGGTACCATGCTTAAGTGACACATATGTCAAACTGAGCAATCAACATGGCAAATTTGGTCAAGTAAGGAATGGATGGAGTAACTAGACATTTTTTAGCCAGGGAAAAACCTACTTTGCTGTCTTCAAGTATTTTTAAATGTCATTATATGGGGGGAAAGGGTAATTCTGAAGAATAAGCTACACAAAAAGGCATGGGACAGCCTGAGTCACCCCCAAAATAGGCCTCTCTGCATGGAAGAACTACAAAAGTGAAAGTGAGCCCCCTACCTTGAGTGGAAGTGTTCACATCAGGGGCAGATAACTACACGCCAGGAGGAGATGGAGTCCTGTCTTACACTGAGACCAACTGTGATTCCAACTGGCTTGGAAGTTGCGCTGTAATTGTTCTTCTGTCTACCTTGTCCACCACTTGCCATCCTCCATCAAGCAGTCTAGGGAATGAGTAAGGACATTCTGTGCGTGGTATGTCCCGAAGGAATTCTAACAGTATAAAGACAATGTGTTATAGGATGCCTTGCAAAGAAGAAGAGCATGGTATGGAGCAAGGCAAAAGAATAAAAAAGGTGATTTCTCAAACATTACCAGAGGGAAGGAAAGCCTACATATCTGCTTCCATAGACAAAGATTATAGGCGTCTGACCCTTAGAATTTTGACACAAATCACATTATACCTACTTATTTGCCATCTGATCGGGTATTCCAGGATGCACATCCTATCTAGACCTTAGGACATTTATTATGAAATAAAATACTGTGAAAATGCAGTCTTTTATTTATATCTTATTTGTCCATAAAAATCAAGGTCTTCTTTCACCTTTATCTAATCAAAAAATGGGTGTCTAACTGTTGTTCCAAGATTGTCATTTCCCAGTCTTACTCTGTTAGCTATGTGGAAATGTAACACATCTATCAAAACACCCTCAAAAACATAATCATAAGTGCTATCTTTGATTTCCTCAAATGTTTATTTAGAAACATTCTCTAGTAAATCTCCAAAGTCTGTTTTCAGGACCTATTGAGTTCTCTCTTCCCACCATCCATGGAAGAGAGAATAGCCGTTTCATCGGAAAGGAGAACTTTGGAAAGGAGAGGGTGAGGCAGCGCAGGGAATAAAGGTGAACCAAGCTGGAATGATCTTATCCATTAAATTGAAAGCAGCGTTGACGGTTAATCCAGACAATTCCCATAGGAGAGATCATTTCTTGCCAAGATGGTACAAGATTAAAACAATGACATGATGATGTAATAGTTTCATCTGACTCATCCATGAGTTACATTTATTTACACGTTTGAGAGAAAGAATACAGGCATATTGAACTCGACTGTTCAGAATAAAACATCTAAAAAATAAAGTCTCAGAATAAGAAAAAAGGTCTTTGAACGTTATATTAACAACATAAAACAGAGGTGGGATGAAAACCACAAATGGTATAAAATATCTCATATTTTGTAGAAACTGGGCAGAGTTGAATTTATAGCAGTGGGTTTAGTGGGTGTAGGGGAGGCTCTTGAAGTGCTAGTATTAGTGGGGATTTTTAATTGTCCTCGCATCTTTCTGCCCCCATACACCTGCTACTGAAGTTCCCTCTGTTACGGGTCACACACAATGCAATCGTACCAATGGCCTGGATGCCCAGCTGATGCTTAAGGGGCCCTCTATCCCAGACAAAAGGAGCTAAAGGGACCCCAAAAACACCTAACTGACTTATCTGTAAAGCCTACCAATTCTCTAGAGATGATTGCTAAAGAAACCACTGGCAGGGAACACCGAGATGGGTAAAGTCTAGCACCAAATGAGCTGGTCTTCGGAGAGAAAGTAGCGGGTAAGAGAGTTTCAAAGGCTCTTTGCAACGATGACTATAAACAAGTGGTTTAGTCCCCTTCCAAAGCAGACAGGGATGGTGAGGTCTACCAGATAAAAGGACATCTGGGGTTAGGACACTTCTAGTGAGTGGCCCTTTTTTGTGTGGTGGCATAGGGTCAAAGAGACAGGCAGGTCAGAGTCCTGGCTCTGGCTGTGGTATCTAGGATAGACATTGAAAAGGGGGGCTGTTCAGGGCCGTTCTAGAGAGGTAGAAGGGCTTGTTTTATCCCAGAGTGAGAGGGATAGTCAATGTTTATGGGGGAGGGGTCATTGCTCTTTCATCTCTGCACTGGAGCAAAAGTTTCAGTGTACACTACAGAAAGCTCTGAGGCCCCAAGGAAAGCTACAGGGAAAGCTAGGGGTCTAGATACAGTGTTACTGCAGACGGTGGCAAGAAGCCCTCTCTTCACACGCCAGTAAATGTACATCAATTGGAGAATGTTAAGAGTAACTGTGGGATGCCTGGACACACAAACTGACAGCATTTGGGAAACTTGGATTCTTGTCCCTGTTGGCTTGGAATAGGCCCTCAGTCTGCATGGAAGGAGGCAGACAGAAGGGTAGAGATGTCTGGGTCCCCAGCATTGGGGAGTGGAAGGGGGAGGGGGGTAAAGGCGCAGGACCGTGGGCCTAAGCAATGGCAATCCTTACCTTGCTAACCACATTCTGGACGAGGCCGGTGCGGATGCCATAGTCCCAGGAGTGACAGTCGCAGTTGGAGGCGTTGTCCCCTCTGTCTGGAGGGGAAGGCAGAGGTGGTGTGTCATCCCCTGCTGCACCGCTGCTATTGCTTCTGTTGGCTGCCACGCTCCAGGAGGCCGTGGGAAAGGTGGGTGCTGCGGGGCTGCTCCAGTTTCCCAGGCTGCTGGTGCTCCACCGGTCAGTGGCAGCGGCCCCTTTGCCAGGCCCGCGGCACCAGAAGTGCGGCTGGTCCAGGAGGAAGGAATCCGAGAACTGGCTGAACCCGATGAACAGCGCCGGAATCCAGGTGAGCAGCACCAGGGTCCTCTGGTAGCCCCCACCCAGCCCCCCGAGGAAGGGCAATACAGAACCATCGTAGTCCATCAACAGGACGCTTGGTGCCGACGCAGACGCGCAGCAGCCCGAGTGCGGGACGCCCACGGCCGAGGCGGGAGGGATCGGGGGCAGCGACTGGATCTCCCCGTCGCTGGCTCCCCGGCAGCCCCCGAGGGGCGCCG